TAAAAAAAAAAAATGAGAAAGCCAAGGATAGAAGCTTGGTGGACATCAACATTTTAAGGAGACAGAGGAACAAGAAACTGTAAAGAAATAGTCACATAAATAGCAAGAACAAGACTATTGCAAGAATTTATAGAAGGGTCAAGTATGATACTAAAAAAATTACCCTTGGATTTGGCAATTAATTACACACTGGTGAGCAGTTTCAATGGAATTGTTGGGGGTAGAAGCCTGATTAAGAGGGACTGAAAAGTAACTGGGAGGTGAGGAGATGGAAAATGTCTATACTGTAGAGACAGTTCTTCAAATTTCAGTTCCAGCCTTTCCTGCTGAGTGACCTTTGACAAGTCACATAATTTCTATGTATCTTAGTTCCTTTATCTATAAAATGGAGTTAGTAGTACCCTCCCCATATAGTCACTTTGAGGATTTAGTAGTTAATATGTGTAATTTTTAATATGTGTATTTACAACAAGGCCTGTAATAATAAGCACTCAATAATAAGCACTCAATAATAAGCACTCAATAAATGCTGTTATCGTTATCCTTAGTATCATCATCTTCAGGGAGCTTGGACCTGAAGGCAGAGTGATAGTAAGTAGATGAGGACATGGAATTGTGGGAAGTGTACTTTTTCCCTTAAGATTAAAAGACACTTGCTGTATGAAAACCAGTTCTCTATCTCTATTTTACACTGTAATTCTAATTACCTGCCCGTATTTAGAATGCTATGCTGAAGAAGTTTTTATTTTAACAAAGTCATAAATACAAATAATTTAGAGTCTAAGTCCTACAAGGCATATTATGAAACAGCATAGTCCCCAACCACTACCTCTTTCTCACATGGCCCAACAGGGAAGGAGCCAGAAGAATAAATGCATCAGCTTCCCTCTCCTCCTGCCCTCTATCCTTGCAGTGTTTGTCACTTTAGCACAATCGGAGGTAGAAGGCAAGGGAGCCTGATTGATGTAATTCATAAGACTGGCCTCCTGGACCACAGAGAAGGGTAGAGTGAATCTGGAATGACAAAATATCAAGCCCAGTAGTTTGGATTTCCATGAGCACTTTAATTTCCTGTATGCTTTTTTTTTTTTAAATATAGCATCCTATTCCTGTATGGTAGATGCAGTTTCTTTTTTATATCACTCAGAATTTTTTTTCTTCTTCAAGCACAGGCTCTGTTTTGTTCAAGTTGCTATTTTTCTCTTCTTTTTTTTTTTTTTCTTTAAGACTGAGTCTTGCTCTGTCACCCAGACTGGAGTACAGTGTGGCACACTCATGGCTCACTACAGCCTTGAACTCTTGGGCTCAAGTGATCCTTCTGCCTCAACCTTTCAAGTAGCTGGGACTACAGGTGCACGCCACCATACCCAGCTAAGTTTTAATTTTTTTATTGAAAGAGGGTCTCCTGTTGTTGCCTAGGCTGGTCTCAAACTCCTGGCTCAAGCGACCCTTCCACCTTAGCCTTCCAAAGTGCTGGAAATACAGGCATGAGCCCCTGCAACCAGCCAAGTTAGTTTTTTTTCTATTCATCTTGGTTTATTTCATATTAAGAGACTTTCCTCACTTATCTGCCCATATTTAACTGTGAAGCACTAAAAGTTGATTAGGAGCTTTGTGTATGTGGTGGGTGCTTGTCATCTCAGATTTTTATTGTAGGCTGATTTGGCTGGCTGTGTCATTGGGAACCCTCAACATCCGTCTCATGAAATCTTTTCTTTGAGGCTGGTTGGATTCCCCAGAGAATATTCTTCCCACATCTTGAAGAACAGGTGCCTGGTTCTGGCATTGTGAGAGGCCAGGTTAGGGGAAGAAGGTTGGAAGTCTCAGCATTAAGTCATCTTTCATTACCCCAGCCAGCATGCCGTTGTGCTCTTTGTGCTGTTTCTGATACTTGCCCTCACTTCAGGCTGTCCAGAGATCCTTCTGTTTCATCTTATTAGGGGAATACATCTCAGTCATCCGCAGGAGTCAGGGAAGGAGAAGTCTGCAGTCTATTTCTAAAACAGCTTTTGATCAATCCTCTGCCGTGTCCCTCCTTCATTCGACTTCAAAGCCTGTTTAAGTTTCCTACTCTTGGCTTTTACTATTACCAGTGTAAGGTTCAAATATCCTCAGTATGCTAAATTAGTTATCACTTGTCTGTCTGTGGCCACTTATTTTTGTCTCTAGTTCTCTTTGTGCCTGTGAGATAATGCCTTTACTTGTTTTTATTTTAGGAGGTTTGGGGAAGGAGCAGAGGCTAATACATGCAATTAACCTGCCATGTTTAACTATAAATTTGTATATAATTTTGTAAGAAAAGTAAGAGTTTTATTGTAAATGTTATTTATTGATATCTGATCATATATCAGTGGTCTCAGTGACAGCAACAACCAAGCGCCTTGATGCTCAGTGGACCTTGAAGGGTCCAGGACATCAATGTTTCTATCTATATCTCCTTGTTGGGAGCACCAGACACCATAGCTGATGGCTCCAGCAAGTCTTGAGGCCAAGAGATGTTGGGAGAGAAACAATAATAAAAAATTTTAGGCCGGACACAGTGGCTCACGCATGTAATCCCAACAATTTGGGAGATCGAGATGGCCAGATTGCTTGAGGCCAGGAGTTTGAGACCAGCCTGGCCAACATGGTGAAACCTCGTCTCTACAAAAATACAAACATTAGCCAGGTGTGGTGCTGCACACCTGTAATCCCAGCTACTATTCAGGAGGCTGAGGCATGGGAATTGCTTGAGCCCGGGAGGCGGAGGGTGCAGTCAGCCAAGATCATACCACTGCACTCTAGCCTGGGCAACAGAGCAAGACTCTGTGTCCAAGAAAAAAAAAAATTCTGGATTTTTTTTTCTTGCTTATTTTTATTACTATTCACGGTTTTTTTAATGTATTTATTTTTGAGTATACAGGTTAGCAACTGCCCTCCTTACCAAGGAGTCCTCCAGCTGCCTGACAAGTACCTCCAGGTCCATCCTTTGTCAAATAACACTCATCTCGCCTGCATTGTGACTGTACCAATAAATTACACCCTGCCTGGATTTCAAGGGAGATTCCACTGTGAACCTACACATACATTCTTCATATCATGATTCCTTAAATCACTTAAGGGTTCCTAAGGAAAAAAATGGCCAAAGTTATCATAGTAGAACTGATGGTAAAATGCATTCCCTCCTCTCCCATTTGTGTGTCTGTTTAGTATATAAAAGTAAACACGCATACACGTATGACACACAAATACATACTTGATTTTTAAATTATGTTTGGTTTTTTTGTAATTCCTGTTCTTGGATTTCTGTGTATTGATGGAGAAATCAGAAAAACCAGGCCAGGTGGCTCACACCTGTAATCCTAGCACTTTGGGAGGCTGAGCCAGGAGGATCGCTTGAGCCCAGGAGTTTGAGACCAGCCTGGATAACATAGGAAGACCCATCTTTCCCAAAAATTACAAAAATTAGTCGAGTTTAGTGGTGCATGCCTGTGTTCCCAGCTACTTGGGAGGCTGAGGTGGGAAGATGTCTTTGACCTGAGAGGTCAAGGCTGCAGTGAGTTGTGACCGCACCACTGCACTCCAGCCTGGGTGACAGAGTGAGACCCTGTCTCAAAAACAACAACAACAACAAAAAATAACTGATAGATCCTAATAAAAATCTGTTTTATTCCCTGAGGCAGCTATAAGTTTGACTGCCTGTCACTTTCACCACAGCGGTTTTCCTGTCTCTAAGCCTTTATCTAAATTTTCAACTCACCTCCCAGTCCTATCACTCCATAGACATTACTTATTACTCCCCTAAGAAAATCAAAACTATTCAACCTGGGCTCTCCTGCCATTCTCTTTTGCTTTCTCTAGTTTTCTCTTTATTTCATCCGTTATCTTTGTCTCCTTCCTATGTTAGAGGAATGGTTTTCCTTTTCTTAGGCTGAGCACCCTCCACCCCAATACCTACACATGATAGCAGAGAGAACAGTATGTACAAAGGCCTGGGAGCTTGAAAGAGCAAAGTTGTGGAAAAATACAGATTTTCCTTTGTGGACAAGTGGGCTTTAGAGTTAAACAGGCCTGGTTTGAAGCCAGTTCTTCTCTACCACCTCCTACTTAAACGACCTTGAGTTCACTTCTCTCATCACACTTCATTTTCTTATCTTTAAAGTGATGAGGCTCACGCCTGTAATCTTAGCACTTTGGGAGGCCGAGGCAGGTGGATTACCTGAGGTCAGGAGTTCGAGACCAGCCTGGACAACATGGCCAAATGCCGTCTCTTAAAAACACACAAAAAAATTAGCCTGGCGTGGTGGCAGGCACCTATAATCCCAGCTACTCAGGAGACTGAGTGAGGCAGGAGAATAGCTTGAATCCAGGAGGCAGAGGTTACAATGAGTGGAGATCACATCACTGCACTCCAGTCTGGGTGACAGAGCAAGACTCCGTCTCAAAATAAATAAATAAATAAAGTGAAGAAAATGCCAGCTACTTCACAAGGTTATTGGGAAGTTTCATAGCATATGGTAAGCTCTCAATAAATGGTAGCTGTTCTTGCTGTTGTGGCTGAAGTAAAACTATGACAGTAGTTCCGCTTAAAATAAGGATTTGCTTATTCCTAGAATAAGCATTTGTTCATATTTATGCCTCTTGCATTAACTATGAATATAAGCCCTACAAAGTCAGGAACTCTGTCCTCATCTTTATGTTTTAAACACGTACCACATGCGCAACATATAAAGTAAATGTACATTATGTGTTGAATGAATGAATGGTGTAGCCTAATATATATTGATTGAATTGATAAAGTAAATTCACTTTTTTTCCAGCTTCCTGTGGATAATTAAAACCTTCCAAAGATTTTCAGATCACATTGTTAGGAATTTGCTTCCTTCCTGTTAACACTGTTTACAAATACTGGCTTTTAGCACATTATTTTTGCATGTTAGACTTGAGTGAAAGTATGGGTGTGCTTTTTAACATGTCATCAATAATAGTTAATTAATTGGCTCTTTTTTTCTTTCCTTCAGGGAGGTGGTACAAGCAAACTGTGTTCGCTGGAGAAAGAAGTTCTCATTTATGTGCAAAATGAGCGCAAGTGCTGCCACAGGCATCCTAGATCCTTGTATCTACAGAGTGTCTGTGAGGAAGGTATAAAAATAGCCTATTACTTCTTCCCTTTCAGGAACCATAATTAGTTCCATAGTCACTAGCTTGCTTTGTTTAGCTCTGCTTTATCTTTTTCATTAGAACTGTATATGCAGTTTCACTTCACACTTGCTGTAGTAATTAAAATACCATGGCAAATATGATGAAGAATCTGAGGTTATAAATTACAATTATTATTCAAGAATCTTCATCTCACTATACATATAAGTATTAATCTTATTTGTATTAGTTTGGGGACTATATATATCTATATCCAGTATTTGTTAAATACCTAGTTTTTATTAGGCATTGTTCTGGGAACTTTATGTGTAATATATCCAGTAACCCTGAAATTAGATGTTATTTTCTCCATTTTCAGGAAAACCAGCGCTCAGAGAAGTTACTTGCCCAAATTTACATAGTTAATAAATGGCAAAGTAGAGAGACTCAAACACAGTTTTCTGATTCCAAGTCTGTTTTCTTTCCTGTATATTGTCTTTCCCAGTGTTAGGTTGAAGCAAATTACCAATAATCTAAAAAAAATGGTAATTTCATATGGTTCAACTTTGTGTGTGTGTGTGTGTATGTATGTATGCATATGTTTTACTTACCAAAATAATACATATAATGGTCAAAAATTAAATAGAGAAGAAGGATTTAGAATGAAAGCAAGAGTCTCTGGCCTTGCTCTTTGCACTGGCCACGCCAGTTCTGCGTCCTTCTGTATCAGAATACCATTGCCATGGTGTTTTAAGTATATGAAATACTTAATATGATATACTAAATAATATTTTAAGTATTATATAAAAGAAGCCATAAAAGAAAAATTGGTAAACTCAACCATATAAACACTTTATGCATTGCAAAATATAACATAAACAAAGTCTTAAATTAGGGGAAGATAGTCACAAATTGTGACAAAGGACGACTTTCCTTAGTATAGAAAGAGCACCTTCAAATAAATTAATTTTAAAAATCAACAACCCTTTAGAAAAATAGTCAAGGGGCAGAATAAACACTTCACAAAAAACTATAAATAGCTTTTAAACATAAAAATATGCTGAATCTGACACAAATTAAAACTACAAATTAGATACCATTTTTTACCCATAAAGTTGACAAAAATAAAAAAGTTTGATAGTGCACTCTGTTGCCTAGGACACAGGGAAGCAATCAGTGACCAGCCAATGGTACTATTGCAGGCACTGGGAGGACAGTGGTGAACTGGAATGAGTTTCTGCCCCCAAGGACTTTACTTTCTGGATGGAGTTGGGGGAGGTGTGATAGGAAAGACAGAGACCGTAAACATGTAGCCAAATAAGATTATTTGAGGTCATGATAAGTTTTATGTGTAGGAAACAATTCAGTAATGGAGAATAGCTTGGGCAAAGGAGATTATTTTAGAGAACTGAGGCAGGAGTCAATGAAGACTTCTCTGAAAGGTAACATTTGAAGAAGAGGCAACCATGTAAAGGTCTAGGGAAAGGCCATTCTAAAGGAGTAGGACCTGAAAGCAAGAAGTCCCTGTATTAGTTTCCTAGGACTGCTATAACTAAATAGCACACTCTGGGTGGCTTTAAACAACAGAAACTTATTGTCTCAGTTATGGACAACAGAAGTTCAAAGTCAAGGTGTCAGCAGGGCCATGCTCCCTCTGGAGGTGCTGGGGGAGAAACTCACACCTCTTGCCTAACGTCCAGCAGCCTCAGGCATTCATTCCTTGACTTGTGGATATATTATTCCATTCACATGATTGTTTTCTCCCTTTGTGTCTTCACATCATTTTCCCTCTGTGCATGTCTGTTTCTCTGTCAAAATTTCTTGTTTTTATAAGGATACCAGTCATACCGGATTAGGACCTCATTTTAACTTGAGTACCTGTATGAAGACCCTATTTCTGGCCAGGCATGGTGGCTCACACCTGTAATCCTTGAAGTTTGGGAGGCTGAGGCAGGCAGATTGCTTGAGCCCAGGATTTCAAGACCAGCCTGGGTCACATGGAGAAATCCCATCTCCACAAAGAATACAAAACTTAATCAGGTGTGGTGGCACGCACTTGTAGTCCCTGCTACTTGTGAGGCAGAGGTGGGAGGATCACCTGAGCCCAGAAGGCTGCAGTGAGCCGTGATCATGCCACTGTACTCCAGCCTGGATGACAGAGCCATACCCTGTCTCAAAAAAAAAAAAAGACCCTACTTCCAAACAAGGTAACATTCTGAAGTAAGGACTTCATGTCTTTTTTTGGATGAGGGAGACAGGGGACATAATTCAACCCATACCAGGCCCTACAGTATAATAAACATGGAGATTATGTTAATACTTCTGAAACTAATGGACTAGCTTGTTGCAGACCACCGCTCCCTCTAAAAACTATTAGAAAAGCTAGACAGAATATCCAAAACAGCTGCTTGAAGGCATCGGAAGCTACTGAGGTAGTCAGGACTTGAGGGGCTTAGAATCCATAGGGAAGGGAAGCATAGAGATAAGCCTGACATTTGGCATTGCTTTTACCCTCAAAGCATTTTTTGATTTGCAAGTAGTGGCAAAGAAGCTGCGTACAAAAGAATGAGCAGTGAAGACACTAAGTTGAGATTGCAGCAATCTTACAGGTCTAAAGGAACAAAAACTGGAATCTGGGGACCACCAGGGAGGAGGGGCCTTGGTAAACACCTCAGGTTTTCAGTTGGGACTCACTCTCTAAGAGTTTCAACCTACTAGGAAGAGTGTAACACATACAGATCAGCCTTACAAAGACTGAAACCCAGCCTCCAGTCACCTCAATCCCTTCTTAGATGAAGGTGATCTGCCTCTTCCTTACTACTTGCCAAAAGCAAATGTATGCCTTCTCCTATCACTCTGAACCTCAAATTATTTCTTCAAGTTTTCATACACAGTTATCAAGCATATAAAGAGACATGACTACTTGACCAAAAATCAAAAGGAAGAGTATATGATAAAAAGCGACCTATGGAAGATACAGATTTTGGAAAGATCAAAGACAAACTTTTACAATAACTATAATTAGTGAACAAGATGGAGAATTTCATCAGAGAGCTAAAATTGTTTTAAAAAAAAAGCAAATTCTAAAACTGAAAAGTACATTAACTAAAATTTAAAGCTAAGTAAATGAATAAAACTTCAACAGATGGATTTAACAGCAGGTTTACCATAACTGAAGAGAGCATTGGTAAATTGGAAAATAAGACAGAAGAAAATATTCAGGCGAAATCACAGAGAGAACAAGGGTGGAATACACAAGAAAGAAGGTAAGACATGTAGGAGACAGTAGAAAGGTCTAACTGTATAAGCCCTAGGAGGAGAGACAAGTGAGTGTGACTGAGAATCTTCTAAAACTGATCAAAGATAACAAACCACAGATTCAGAAGTACTGTGAACCCTATGCAGTGTAAACAGCAAGTCTGGCATGTTTAAATGACAAGACCAGCCTGGCTGCGGCGTGGGAAACAGAGAGGCAAAGTTATTGGTAGTGGGATTGGATGCACTAGATCAGGCCGGGCCTTATGAAAAGTTTACATCTAATTATATTTGGAAGTATTGGAGGATTTTAATAAGGAGGGACATCATCTTCTGTAAGATCACTTTTGCTGCTGTGTTAGATGAATCACAGAGACCACCTAGGTGTTTTTTGATAGTTGAAGGGAGAAGTGCTTATGTTTTGACATAGAGTTACAACATATAAATGGTCATTATTGTGCAGCCAGATATCCAACTAAAAATAGAGGATTCTGTTACTATGGAGTGGGGGGAAATGGATGATTGGGATATGACTAGCATTCTTTCTACAGAGGTTGAGTGAAGGAATAGGTCCAGCAAACGAGAGTGAGAAGTTGCCAACGAGGTAGTAATAAAACCAGGCAATTGTGGTACTGTGGAAGTTTAGCAAAGAAAATGATGCAGCAAAGGAGGTGGAGTGGCCAAGCCTGTCACCTACCGCTGAGATGTTGAATAAGATGAAGACCGGGAACCTTTGGCTTTAACAAAATGAAGATCATTGGTAATCTTAAGAGCTATTACAAAGGGCTGAGCACACCTATAATCACACCTATAATCCCAGCAATTTGGGAGGCCGAGGAATGAGGACTGCTTAAGACCAGAAGTTTGAGACAAAACTAGGCAACATGGCAAGACCCCATCTCTCCAAAAAAAAAAAAAAAAAGAAAGAAAAAAAATTAGCTGGGTGGGGTGGCATGCACCTGTAGGCTTAGCTACTCAGAAGGCTGAGGTGGGAGGATCTCCTGAGCCCAAGAGTTTGAGGTTTCACTGAGCTATGGTCATCCCACTGCACTCCAGCCTGGTTGACAGAGAGAGACCCTGTCTCTAAGAAATAAAATAAATAAAAAATGAAAAAGAACTATTGCAGAGGGAAAATAAGGATGAAAGCCCAATTGGAGTGGGTTGAATAGAGAGTAGGATATAGCAAATATAGATAAGTCTTTTGATGAGTTTGGCTATAGAGGGGAGCAAATAAAAGAATTAGCTAGCAGAAACAAGGATCATCTGGAGAAAATTTTGTTTTCTTAAGGAAAGGCACTATTAAAGAATATGACAGTCACCTAATGAAAATGCGATCATTCATAATGGGGTAGATGTAGTAGCATGGCCACACCTGAAATCAGTGAAGCAGGGAAGGGGGGGAACAGCAAATATTCATGAATGATAATAGAGTTTATCATAGATTGTTCCTTAACATATTTGTATTCACCGCTTGAAAGATGGAAATGATAGATAATGCATTATGTATCTGATTTATGCAAAAAAGATGAGACAACACCATCCAGCAGATGCATTTTTAAAAGTAGGTAGGGAGTGGGGAGTTTGGCCCTAATAATGACAAAGACATATATACAAACACATACCATGTACTAGGTATTGTCCTGAGTGTTTTATACTTAATTCTCACAGCTGTACGAAAACAAGTCTAAAGATTTGACAAATTTATGTACAGTGACATATTTTAAGTTAAAAAAGACACATGTCTTTTTTTTTATTATTTTCACTTTGGTCAACCTTGTTCACCTTAGGTAAGAGAGTTTGTACTATACTAAATGTACACTTTTACATGCATAGAGTATCTCTTCAGTGATTCATAAAAACTGGTTGTCCCTGGGGGGTGGTTTCAAGTCCTGTTGAAATCTTTCTATACTATATTAGTATGCTTAACTAAGTAAATAATTTAACCTTTGTTTGGTGATTCAGGTTTTTGCAGTGAGTCCACAACACTTTTTGACCATTTCTTCTTCAGCGAATAGATAAAATATTAGCTTATGTTCTCACCATTTGTCTCATTTAGATTAAAGTGAAATGCTAAATAAAAATTCTGGTCATTTGGGGGGCTTGTGGGAGTCTTAAATAGTTGGATTTAAGATCATCAGAATTTTACTGTCTATGATATTTTCCAACATATATATGTCTGCTTCAGAATTATTTGACATATTTATTTTTAAATCTTTTATTATATGATATCCTTACAGTATTTTATGTCTTTGGCAGGAATTAAAAGGTGGAAAAGCTTATGCAAAGGTAAGCAGATGTTCTTTAACTGCTTTGGAACGTGTAATGTTGCTTATTGCTATTTATAGGCTTAAAAATTAAATTGTTTACTCTTCTAATATCTGTTCAAGCTTGTCTCTTTTTATATAAAGCAACTTGGAGATTGAACAGTTGGATCTAACAGTAAATTATAGGCATAATCTTTCTAAATGCTGATTATGGGATGTTATTCTTTAGATTCAGCCTCCCTGCTCTAGAGGATGATCTCTAGTTTGCATTAAGCCATAGCATGTGATAATTCAAAGGATCTCACCTGGGAAGTGTGGCCAGGCCCACCTCCCCCCACTGTAAGAGGACCTGTCCTTTTTGCTGTCTTAGCACTCTGTGTATACATGATAAGTACTGCTGGTTTTTACTTTTGCTAGCTCTGTGGAATTACTAGTGGATGTGCTCACCTGTTTGCTGACTAGAAGGATTTAGTAACATTACCAGAAACTCACATAGTCCTTTTTAACTTCCAGTCTCTGTGAATGGTACCTCCATCAATCCAGTCACCTGAACTGAGAGATTGTACACTAGTCTTTTTTTCCCCTAACTTTTTAAATTTTGTTTTTTATTTTTGTAGACATGGGGTCTTGCTATGTTACCCAGGCTGGTCTCGAACTCCTGGCCTCAAGTGATCCTCCTGCCTTGGCCTCCCGAAGTGCTGAGATTACAGGCATTAACCACCTTGCCTGGCCCCTGTACATTAGTTTTAACCTCCATATTTACTGAACACCCTAAATCTAGTTGGTTGCAATGCCAGGATGTTCTTTGTTAAAGTAATAGAAAACCTTCCTCAACTAGAGATTTTTTTAATATTACCAAACAAGGAGATGTGAGATAGACTTGCTCCAGAACTGGTCAATCCGCTGACTGAAGAACATCATCAAGAAGTCATTATTTTTCTCTTTCCATTCTGCCATTCTCTGTGTGACGACTTTGTTCTTGGCCAGCTCCCCTTCTGGACACCAGCTGGCTGGCTGCTTAATTTTAAGTCAACACATTCACATATGACAAAAATCCAGCTGCTTCTCCCTGTATTACATTTTTTTGAGTGAAGAAACATTTTCTAGATGACCCTCAGAGGGTTTTCCCATACCTTTCATTGGCTGGAACTGGATTATACGCCCACCCTAAACTGGTTGTGGGCAATAGGAATGGATTGCCATGGTTAGCTTAAACTAATCACAGTCTAACAATGAGCTGGGGTTTGGGTTTCCTTCCTTGTACACATGGATGAACTGAGACTGGACACCTGAATAAAACCAGGGTTTTGTGACTGGGCGTGGTGGCTCATGCCTGTAATCCCAGCACTTTGGAAGGCCATGGTGGGAGGATCACTTGAGCCCAGGCATTCATGACCATCCTGGACAACATGGTGAGACCCTGTCTCAGTAAATAATTAATTAATTAACTAATTAAAAATAAATCAAGGCTTTGCTATCAAGGAATAGGAGGGCATTGATTCTGGGCTAGGCAGACAACAAGGTCTGCTGTAGTTGACCTGTCCTCTTCATTTTTCCCCTCTAAAAAGGTCTTGAAACCATACCTTCTCTCCATTGCCAGGGCCACTGCCTCAGGTTATGTCTTCATTATTTTTTATTTACAGCCTGCACTGGCCTTCTGTCTAGTCTCTCTGTCTCTGTTATCTCCCTCCATCCTCCATATTATTGCCAAAGTCATTTTTCTAAAATTAAAACATGATCATATCATTCCCCCATTTTTAGTCCTTTAGCAGCTATTCATTGCTTATAAAGGAAAATGAAAATTTCTTAACCTGGCGTGTAAGACACATCTTGTCATCTCTACTGTCATCTGCACATGAACACACACATACACAATCATACGCTCATCCTTATGCCTCACACATACCATCCTCACAAACCTCCTGGAGTATCCCATGCTATCTTATCCTTTTGCTTTGTAACTTGATGTCTTTTCCTACCATTTTTATATTTCTCCCTCCTCTTGTCCTGTCAACTCATGTATCATTAAAGACTTAGCTTAGTCATCCCTCCCCACTAAGAAGTTTTCTTTTCCTCTGTTTCTTGTAACTGTCTCCCTCTATCACAGTACTTTCACACTGCATTAAGGAATCTGTTCACTTTTCTGTCCTCCCCTATTAAACTGTAAGAGTAGGAATGACTTCCATATTACCTGAAATGTAGATGCTGAAGATTATTTCATGAATGAATTAATATCTGTGACAAATACAGCTAGTGTTTATGTATAAATATGCCATTTCATGAGACAGTTACTCAGTGAAGCCAAAGAAAAAGTCGTAAGGAAACATAGACTTTCTGGTTCTTCACTAGAATGTAAGCTCTTTGAAAGCAGAGTAGATGTCCTATTCATCACTGTTTCCCAGTGTCTACAACTGGGCCTGTCATATAAAAGATGCTTGATAATATTGACTTCACTCATTAGTAACTGTTAGCCTGAAATGCCACATTGACATGCCCCACGTTTTAATATACTTTCTTAATAGGAGCTGTCTTAGTTAGTTTGGGATGCTATAGCAGATTACCATAGATTAGGTGATTTAAACAACATTTATTTCCCACAGTTCTGGAGGCTGGGAAGTCCAAGATCAAGGTGCTGGTGGATCCAGTCTGGTGAGGGCCTGCTTTCTGCTTTGCAGATGTCTGTCATCTCGTGGTGTCCTCAAATGGCAGAGAGCAGAGAAAAAGGAAGCAAGCTCTCTTGTGTCTTTTTAAAAGGGCATTAATCCATTTTTGAGGACTCCACTCTTGTGACCTAATTACCTCTCATAGGCCCTGCCACCTAATACCACCCTTTCGGGGGTTAGGGTTTCAACATAGGAATTTGGGGGGAACATAAACATGCAGGCCTAAGAAGCACTGATCAGATTCTCCCCTTTTTTAACTTATCGACAGTGTAATATAACAACATTACAACAGAAGGTGGTAAGCCAATGGGCTATTCTTTTATTCAACAAATATGTATTAAGTGCCAGACACTGTTCTTGGTACTGTTCTAAGTACTGGAGATACAGCAGTGAACAAGACAGACAAAAATCCCTGCATTTGTGGAGCTTACGTGCTAATGGGAGCAGGGGTCGTTGGAGGGACAGACAATAAGCAAATATGAAATATGTGTGTACGTGATGTGATGATAACTACTAAGGAGAAAAATAGAGCAGGTAAGGGGAGGAAGGTGGTAACTACAGGGTAAGGGAGGGAAGAGGGATGTGATATAGGATGGTCAGGGAAGGCCCCTTTAGAGAGATGACTTCTGAGCATTGACCTGAATGGAGTAAAGGAGACAGCTATAAGAAAATCTGAGAGACAGCATTTCCAGCAAAAGAACAGTAAGTGCTAAAGGCCTTGAAGTGATCTTGGCATTTTCAAGAAACAGGACATTGTGGCTGCCAGAGTAAATGAGGAAAAGGAGGAAATGAAGTTGGTCAGGAGCAATAGGAGACTGCAGAGAAAACTCTTTCAAGAGGAACAAGATCATGTCCTTTTCAGGGACATTGATGGAGCTGGAATCCATTATCCTCAGCAAACTTATGCAGGAACAGAAAACCAAATACTGCATGTTCTCACTTATAAGTGCAAGCTGAACAAATGTGATCACGTGGACACAGGGAGGGGATTAGCACACACTGGGGCCTGTCGGGAGGGGGCCGGGGGGAGCAAGAGCATCAGGAAAAATAGTTATTGCATGCTGGGCTTAATACCTAGGCAATGGGTTGATAGGTGCAGTAAATCACCATGGCAAACTATGTGACAAACATGCATGTCCTACACATGTATCCTGGAACTTAAAATAAAATTTTTAAAAAAAAACCTCTTACAAGAAGTTTTGCTGTAAAGAGGGCCAGAAAAAAAAAATGGTTCAATAGCCTGGAGAGAGATGTAGGGTGAGGTTTTGCTTTCTTTTGTTCATTAAAGTAGGAGAAAATCCAGCATGTTTGTGTGCTTTTGGGAACGATCCAGCAGAGTAGGGAAATTTTAGAATGCACAAGAGCAGAAAGAATAACTGAAGTGATTAACTTGAGTGGGCAAGAGGAGAGTGGTTGGCCTCAGACAGTACTGTAAGTGGGAAAGCAAGTATGTGGGCACAGATGCAGGTAGGTGAGTGGATGTCACTGGCAGTAAAAGCTTATGGAAGTTAAGTGCTCTTTTGATTGCTTTAATTTTCTGATTGAAATAGGCAGTAAGGTCATCAGCAGAAAGTGAGGATGAGAAAGCAGTGTTGGAGGGTCAAGGAGAAGGATAATGTATGAAATAGGGTGCACTGATAATGTGTGATCAGTCATGTGAGTCTTCACATGCCCGGTTGGATATGGCTTTGTCCTGGACATATCCAGGCTTTTTCTGCTGATCTTTTGCCCCTCCAAGAGAGGCAATAAGACAGCTGGGCGCAGTGGCTCACGCCTGTAATCCCAGCACTTTGGGAGGCTAAGGCGGGTGGATCACGAGGTCAGGAAATCGAGACCATCCTGGCTAACATGCTGAAATCCTGTCTCTACTGAAAATACAAAAATAAAAAATTAGCCGGGCATGGAAAATACAAAAAAATAAAAATAAATAGCCAGGCATGGTGGCGGGCGCCTGTAGTCCCAGCTACTCGGGAGGCTGAGGCAGGAGAATGGCTTGAACCCGGGAGGCAGAGCTTGCAGTGAACCAAGATCATGCCACTGCACTCTAGCCTGGGTGACAGAGTGAGACTCTGTCTCAAAAAAAAAAAAAAGAGAGAGGCAATAAGACTAGAGTAACCATGTGTGAATTAGGTGGGTATTACTGCTGCTTGATGTGTGTTTGACTTACTGCATTTGGGGTTTGTGGTCCTTCGACTGCTCTCTGGGTTCTAATTCTTCATTCTTTTTGTATCAATTAAAAGGTGTTAAAATAATGCTCCAGCCTGCAATTAAAATATTCATCTCAAATGTGATTTATATGTGCCCACTGTGTGTTTTAAAACCCTAAGGCAAACAACTTAGAATCACAGCAGTTTTTGAAATGTATAATACTGTGAAATGTATAATACTTTTTGTTGTATATTTATGGAAACATGCTTAATAAATTGCAACTCAATTCATTTTTTGTTGTTAATAAAAAGACTACACTTAGTCATGTAGACTTAGCTTGCTCACAAAATGATATAATGATAAAATGGGGTTGATTTGTTGTACCACATGGAAATGAGAAACAGGGTTGAGCAACATCAGAGGAAAGACTATACGGCAACCTTTGGCAGCTGCAGAAAATGGGGACTGAACCTGGGCAGTAATAACAAGAAGGAACAGGTTTGAGCTGAACTTCTGCACAGCAGCGGAGAGGGTTGATGTGGGGCAGAGCTCTGAGAAAGGGATGAATTAGGTTTCATAAAGAGAGATTCAGTTCAAGGATAATCAGCAAGAAGACACTGGTACCAAAGAAAATAGGTGATTCACTTAAGTCACTCCAGTTCTTGCATGGGGAGTGAAAACTTAATAACCTGCAACTATCTGCCTTCACCAGTGGTTAACTTGGCATAGAGCCTGACCCAGAATAGGGAGAGGAGAGTCTAATCATTCTTTTCTATGTGTATGCAAATTATCACTCTTGGTTTGCTAGTATTTCCCACAGGGTGGTGTGAATACCATTACTTGCAATGATTTTAGCTGTTTGATATACATTATTTTTACTTTAACAGTAATATATATTTTTAATGTATATAGAAAAAATATATTTACTGCATCAATTCTGATTTCAGAGATCCTGTTGCTGAAGACAAGAATAAATAAATAAATTCATATAAAAGGTGAACCAATTTAAAAACACAAAGCAAATAATAGAACAGGTATTAAGTTGTCAAAAATTACAAATAAATGAAGTTGGAGAAAACCTGTCCTAGGGTATGGGTTGAATATTTATTTTAAGGAGCATATGATAGAAGCCTACTAGATAGTCTATTAATATAATTCTCTTTCTTTTCATAGCTGGGCTTTGCAGATCTAAACCTGGCAGAGTTTGCTGGATCAGGAAATACCACTCGCCGCTGTTTACTGGAAGGCTATGATACCAAAAATACAAGACAGGATAATTCCATTCTTAAAGTAAGCACGTTTCAGGATTTACTTGTCAAGAAATAAGATTATCTGCCTTTAAATAAGCATATGTATATATTGTAAAGGACAAGATGTGAATCAATGCTGATATGATAAACTGACCATACCACTGAAGTATTCATCACCTAAGGAAAAACCCCATCTAAGTCACAAAAGCAGTGAAAAGTAACAAATGTTCACCTTCATGGTCCTAAGGTGTTTTTCTTTAATATTTTGAGCATTCAGAGAATACATACACCACTACAACATAAGAGTTCATTGGGAGGAAGGAGCATGATGAATTAATGAATACCTTAAAATGTTTGTAGCTCCCATAAGGTGATTTACAGAGCAGCTGTGATAGGTACATAGAAGCCACTGGGTTCTCTTGTAAACTAGTGAAGTGACAGATGGAACCCACTTCTGGGCATCTGCCCGGCTTTTTCCGAGTACCATCAGGAGCCATGTACTCTAGTAATGAGTGCGAATGTATACTTCATAGAGTTAATTGTAGTATTAAATGAAATTAATTGAGAAAATATTTGTAAAGTACTTTGCACCTAGGAAACTCCGTTAGATAAACCTTTTGCAGTGTTTCAGTTAGGTTACCCCATGGTGGTAAGTTATCTAATAAGGAAGGAAAATAATTCTGAATAAAAACTGGGTGTTCAGAAGTTAGTGAAGCAAAGAATTACCTTATATTCTACAATTTTCAAACTTTTTTTGCAGCAAATCTTAAGCTCTGCACATATGAAAATGTGTAAAATGGTTATTATAGCCAGTCCATTGCATAAAATGGTTTTTGTAACCCTCACACGAATTTAGCAGCTGGAAAGAAAGGTGGGATAGCGAGTTGATATGGGAAGGAAAATGTTCAGAAGACAAGGAAGAAATTAGAAAAGTATCACAGTATAAACTTCTGTACACATCATGTTGATTATATAGCTTTGTGGTTTTATAACTCTAAGAAGTTTTCAAAGCACTTGCCCATATCTCCATGAGATGAACAGGGTTAGACAGATGAGAATAGATTGTTATTCACATCTTTATAGATGAAGAGCTGAGACTAAAGTATCTCACAAAAGTAGTCAGTGGCAGAGCTGGGACCACAGCGCATATCTTCTGCTGCCTGGTCAGGGGTCTTATTTCTTATATGAAAAGATGGATAATTCTTCTCTGAATGACAGTGTTTTCGTTGGAAATTGAAATAACTTTTTAGTTTCAGACCCTCACATTCCTAAGAGCCAACTCACGGAGTGTTTCCTTCTGGCTTCCCATTCATCCTTCCACACCATCTCTCCCACTTTGTCCTACAAAAAAAAACATACTTTTTGAAGATTACACCATTCAGTCATAACACTCTCTCCTTTCCCAATCTCTGCCATCTCCTGACCCCTTAGGTACCTTCTCGCTCCTATCCATTGATGACTTAGCTCATGGCTCACAGTCTTTCTCTATATCTCTTCTCAGGTCATCATTTTTCCGTGGCTTCACCATCTGTGTGGGCGAGCTAGCCTTGTGGACTATCTTATCTGTATTTTTTTTCCTGATAGCTGATCATCTATGAGTCTAAGGCTTCTCAGTTCCTTAAACTCCCTATCTCCGGCAATATTTTCCTCCTCATCATCTCAGTTCCTACTCCCATGGTCACACTCTAGAGTCTAGACCTTTTTACTCCTAGAAACTTCAGCCCCCCAAAAAAATTCAATTTAAAGTTTTCTTCCTCCTACACTATCTGTTTCCAGTCCTCTTAGTCTCACTTAGCTGTCTTTAACCTTACCACTTTCCCACTATCCATCAGCCCTGACTTGCTTCCACTTCCCTCTTTATCCAGCTTAAATTTCATGGTCCATAAGGCCAGGAGTTCAAGACCAATCTGGGCAACATAGTGAGAACCCCATTTAAAAAAAAAAAAAAAATACTCCTGGCTCCTCTGTCCCTGTCTCCCTGCATTGTCTGAATAATCCCCAACTTTTGTTGAACTCAGTTATTAAATATCTATCCTTGCATGCCGAGCATTGCTGAAGAGAATCACACAACCAGACTAGCTGTCATTACTGAAGCCGTGCTCACTGCCATCTGGCAGTCATACTCTACTTCCTTCATATGCTTCCTTTCTCAATTTTAGATATTCTATGTCATACCTTTTTTCTCCTCGTATCCCAACACACTATTCCTGCTCTCAGATACTGGCCTTGCCTTATCCTGTTGAGAAAACAGAAGCCATTAAACTCAAATTCCCTCATCTTCCCATCACAGACTTTACCTGCCTCTCCTGCCTTATCCTTTTTGTCTCCTGTTACAATGGATGGCATGTCCCCTCTCCTATTAGAAGTCAGTCCTTCCTCTTGGCTTCTGGAATCCAAAGTTTGCCTAACCAAGAGCTTTACCCCTTAGATTATCCCCTCTTCTCATCATCTCTACCTCGAATGAACCATCCTCATCAACATATAAAGAAACAGCTCCACTATCTCCCATATTTATTTTAAAAAAGGACAAAAATTAATCTCTCATCTTCTCCAACTACTGTCTCACATCTCTGTTCTACTTCACTATTCAGTTCCTTAAAAGCTGTATGTGCCACCTCCATCTCCTTTCTGAGACATCCATGATATTCAACAGTGCAGTTTTGATGGAGTTGGAAAGCAGACCTCAGGGTTCTATGAAAGAAGAGATGATGAGGAAATCAGTGCAGTAGGATAGATTTGCCATTTAAAGAGAAAAAGAATAGTCATGGAGGTGCTGGGGTGAGGAGATAGGAATGAAATAAGTTTATATAAGATACATGTCAGCCATTAACTGGAGAACATACAACAATGTACATATCATTTTATTCATTAAGACTATGAATTTTGCTATGTGCAGCCCTGGGATCACATCTCAGCTCTGCCCTTTACTAGTTATCTGGTTTTTAAAATATCACTTAATCTCCTGAGGTTAAAATGAAAATATTGTTCTCTCATAGGAATACTGAAAATTAAAGGAAATAATGCATATTAAACACGTAGCTTATGCCTGGCACATAATGAATTCTCAAATCATGATTGTTGTTAATGTTACTGTTACTGTTACCATTATCATTATTATTCCCATAAGAACATAAAGAGGTCCTATGACTGACTGTTAAAGGTAGTCAGCAACTAGAGAATAGCAGCATCTTAGAAAGTATTAGAAAAGCTTTAAATCCTGACTGGGCACAGTGGCTCACACCTATAATCCTAGCACTTTGGGAGGCCAAGGTGGTAGGATCACTTGAGGCCAGGAGTTCAAGATCAGCTTGGACAACATAAACAAGACCCCATCTCTACAAAGGAAAAAAAAAAAAAGAATTCACCAGGTGTGGCATGCACCTATAGTCCCAGCTACTCAGAAGGCTGAGACAGGAAGATCATGAGCCCAGGAGTTTAAGACTGCAGTGATCTGTGATAGCACCACTGCACTTCAGCCTGGGTGACAGAGCAAGACCTTATCTCAAGAATTTAAAAAAAAAAAAAAACTTTGAATTCTGATCTAAAGCTGGAACAAAGGCCAGAAGCTTTTTACCCTTAGAAGCCACCAGCCAGCATCCCTTGAAACATCAACGTGGCAACTTGAAGGAAAACATTACCAGACACTTAGGCACCACAGAAATTTGAGAGTAAAGACAGATAGATTAGCATGGCCACACACCCACAGGATTATTACTGATGAATTATTATTGCTATTTGTTTCCATTATTTCTGTTCTGATTTTTGCAGTTTTGAGGTTTTGAATGTTAAAAATTATTTTAATCTATATGGAGCAGTAATTTAATATTGAATATAACCCACTTCTTTTTTTTTTTTTTTTAATAGAGACAGGGTCTTGCTCTGTTGCGCAGGCTGGATGACCATAGCTCACTATAACCTGAAACTCCTGGGCTCAAACAATCCTCCTGCCTTAGCCTCCCATGGATATAACCCAATTCAACAATCATTTTAGTTAATGCTTTCCCAATAGAAAATATCAGACTAGGTGCTGTGAAGGAAGCATTTTATAATTTTTTATAATCATGATGTTTCTTGTTTTATGTTTAGGTTTTGATCAGTATGCAACTGATGTCTGGTGACCCATGTTTTAAAACGTAAGTTGATACCCAATAAGTGGATTATGTATCTAAAAGTATAAGAAAGATTTATTTGTTTAAATTTTTACATTAGTATTTTGTAGTGCTTATGGGAAAATACCAGTTAAGAGATAGTTTCTTCCGTGGGAGACTGACCTGACCCTCTTAGAAGTTATGTTTACCTATTACCAAATGAATTCTCCATACTCTAAATTATTAATGCTATAGGTCTTTTATCATATTCAGGTTTTGGGTAAAATTATATAAACAAAAATTTTTAATACAGCTTCTGTGAACATACTCATTTCTTCAGTAAATACCTATCAAGTGCCTTACCAGGTGCTAAGCCATATTCTAGATACTAGAGAAACCGCAATGAACAAAATAGGTTAAGTCCTTGCCATCCTGGAGCTTATATTCTAAGAGGAAAATGGACAATAAGCTAACAAGTAAATACATAATACACCGATGGTCATAAGCGCTTTGGAGAAAAAAGATGGGAGGGCCATGGTGAAGAGAAGTGTCGCTATTACATATATAGTAGTCAAGGGAGGCCCCCCTGGTAAAGATGATATTTGAGTAGAGACCTGAAGGAGGTGGGAAGCAAGTCACACCGGCATTAGGGGAAAGAGCATTTGAGGTAGAGGAAACGAGGACAGAGACCTTGAGGGAGAAGTGTTCTTGGCACGTTCAAGTAGCTGCCTGGAGAGCAGCAGGTCTAAAGCAGGGTGAATAAAGAGGCGGGTGACAGGAGATGAGGTCAGATGATAAGGAGTCTTGTGGCCATTATAAAAAGGACTGCCACTCACACTCTGAGTGAGATGGAAAAGCTATTGGAAGTTTTGAGCAGAGAAGTAAAATTGTCTGACTTGTGGCTGCTGGATAGGGAATAGACAATCTGTAGGAGTAACAAAGGGGACAGGGGCACAAATAATTAGATAAAAGGCTATTTCAGTAATCCAAGGTTTTGAGCCTGAGTAACTGGACAAATGGCACTTTCATTTGTTGAGATGAGATAACAAGTTGGGAGTTTGGGTGTCAGACATTTTAAATTTGAGATCCCTATTTAACATCCAGCGGGGCATGTCAAGTAGGCAATTGGATAGATCAACTAGAGTCCAGTAGGGAGATCTGGGCAGGAGATAGAAGTGTGGAAATTATTACATCATTCGCATACAGGTAGTAATTAAAGCCATCAGACTTGAATAAATAACTGGAGGGAACGAGTAGAAATGGAAAAGGACCAGAGACTGAGGTGGGGACACCCCAGCGTGTTAGAGGTCAGGGAGACTGGGAAGAAGAAGGAGCAAAGAAACCATGAGTGTGATCGGAGGAGGAAAGCAAAGCAGAGTCCTGTCCTGAAAACCAAATGAAGAAATGGCCTCAGAAAGGCAGGAATAAGCACCTGCATCACACGCTGCTGTAGTGGATTTCAGAAAATGAGGACTGAGGATTGACCCTTGGAATTTGCAGTGCAGAAACTGTTGATGACTTTGGCAGGCACTTTGGTAGAATGCCCTTAGACTAAAGCCTTTTGAGCATGGGTTAAAGAGACTTTGGGAGGAGAAAAATTGGAGACAGTGAGTATAAACAGTTCTTATGAGGGGTTTTGCTGTAAAAAAGAAACAGAAAAATGGAGTCATAAGTAAAGAGAGGATTTGGAGTAGGGCAGGTTTTATTCATTTTTAAGATGGAAGATGGTATAGCATACTTGAGTACCAATAGTATTGGCTCAGTAAGAGGGAGAAACTGATGATCCAGAAAAGGGACTGTTGCTAGAACGGCATCCTTGCATTGTTGGAAGGGAGGAAGGCTGAGAACGTAGCTACTGACGCAGGTAGAGGAGAAATGGAAGCATATAGAAGTTCTTTTCTAATTGCTTCTGATTTCTTAGTGCAGTAGGAAACAAGGTGCTCATTGAAGAGCAAGGACAGGGAAGATAGAGGAAGGGGTTTGAAGAAAGGAGAAGGTATGCAGAAGTCTCACAGAGTGTCAGCATGAACGGAATGGGAAATGCAGGATTGCTTCTCAGCAGCCTTGAGGACACTTAATGATTAAAAATGAAAGTTCATTGATATCATTGAAATATCAGAAAAATACACATAGAAAACTAAAGAAAACATTACCTCCCTGTATATCAACTTCATGTTTTTAATAGCTGTAACTTAGAAAGCAACACCTAGCCGGGCGCGGTGGCTCATGCCTGTAATCCCAGTACTTTGGCAGGCTGAGGCGGGAGGATCACTCTACAAAAAATACAAAAATCAGGCATGGTGATGCATGCCTGTGGTCCCAGCTACTTGGGAAGCTAAGGGGAGGATTGCTTGAGCCTGGGAAGTGGAGGTTGCAGTGAGCCAAGATTGCACCACTATACACCAGCCTGGGCGACAGAGCAAGCCCCTGTTTCAAAAAAAAAAAAGAAACAATTCTTGATTAAAACCACACATCTTCCTATAACTTAGCCTTCCTATGCTGTCTTCTCAGAAACCATGGTTTCCTGACTCCTTTATTTTCTGCTTTCTTGGGATCAAACCAATTTTGCTTTACTATTTTTGGTGTCTCGGGTAACAGTTTGTTTTTCTAGTGGAGTAGGATTTAGGGTAAAATAAGAGAATGAGCAGCAAAACTTAGCAGAAGAAAATAAATTGATCATTCCTTCTCATGAACTTTTTATGGATATTCCCTTTCTTGCCCTTTCTCTGCTCTTTTCTCTCTCTACTTAAACTCACATACTGAAGAACTTGAAAATAGATCATCTAATGTTTTCTATTATCTCCATAAATTTAATTCTGACAATCTGGAGTTTATATTTACAGAGAAAGACTTTTATAATTCATAAAAATAAGCAGACATTACCTAATTCCAAATACATAAAAGTATTTTTCGAGAATCAAATCCTCAATAGTTTTTCTTTTCTCTCTGAAATTGTTCAAATGTCATTGAAAAAGGGGAAATTCTAACACATTCATATACTTGCACATCCTGAATATGTACTGAAGAGAAAAAACATTTTAGCTACTGATGTAAAAAGTAAATTCATTTTATCAGGTTATATTTAAATATATATCAAATATGTAAATTCACATTACTTTAGAGCTGAAAAGAATGTTGGAAGTTGTCTAATCCAGTGATTTTTTTTTCAGATTATTTAGCTACAAAATCCTGTGTTCGAATATAATATGAGGCCAGGCATGGTGGCTTATGCCTGTAATCCCACACTTTGGGAGGCCAAGGCAGGTGGGTCACTTGAGCCTAGGAGTTCACGACCAGCCTGGGCAACATGGTGAAACCCTGTCCCTACCAAAAAATAAATTTAAAAAATTAGCCAGGCATGGTGGTGCACCTGTAGTCCCAGCTACTCAGGAGTCTGAGGTGGGAGGATCACTTGAGCCCAGGAAGCGGAGGTTGCAGTGAGCCAAGATCATGCCACTGCACTCCAGGCTGGGTGACAGAGTGAGACCTGTCTCAAAAAATAAAGCAAATATATTATGAATCCTAGTATATAAAATTTTACTCTATATCCCCTCCAACTTAGGTAAGATGAGAATAAATTTTCTACTGGGCACTCTCCCCTATCTGTTTCTACAAGACCCTAAAAGATACCATGAAACCAGTTTTAAAAGTGTTGCTGTAATCCAAGTTCTTATTGTACAGATGAGGAAACTGAGGCACAGAGCAGTCGAGTGACTTTACTGAATATCTTTGTCCAGCACGAAGATATAAATAACTGCTGGAGGGCTTCATTCTACTATTCTCTGCTTTTGTCTATCTTTAAATTTTTCATGATATAAATTTTTTTAATTTACTTGAGAAACAAGAGTACAGCAGATCCTTAGTCTCAAGTTTAAATCCTAGTTTTAATATTTTCTGAGCAGAAGATCTGTGACATAGATTGTATAATTCTTTTGAAGCACCAATTTTATACTATAAGATCAGAATTTATGAAGAAGACAGCTGGTAAGTCAGCCTAACCACCTACCCTAAACTTTATTTCATAGTTCTCTACAACTCATCAAATATCCACCAACTCTTGTAAAAGAATGAAACTCACTCTGAAAAGTGCTGATAAAGAAAAAAGATATTTTAAGAGAGAAATTGTATACTCTGCTGGCATTTGGGAATCTGGTGGCAAAGCAGATCTAGGGGTGATGTGGCAAAGCAGATCTAGGGGTGATATAAGTCTCTCGAATAGCAAGGTTCTGACGTGTTCATATTCCAAAAGGAAGGAAATTATCATTTGTGAAAATGATTTCATGAATGTTACTGTCTCTCAATTTTTAAAACAACTCTGTAATGTAAATATTATCCATGTTTTTGAGTAAGGACATTGAGACTAGGAGGTTAAGGAATTATTTCTTCCAGGGTCCCAGGATGCAGTCATTCATTCAGTACATGTGTATTGATTGCCTGCCACATGCCAAGACTTAACAAGCTAGAAAAGACCAGCCCCTGCTCTGAAGGGATTCATTGATTATGTGGGAGACAGGCAAACAGCATACAATGTCACTGGGGCACCCAGGATAGGATCCCTAGCCACAGTTCCTTAGAAACCAGGGAAATCTTTACTGAGAAGGGGATGCTGAGCTAAGTTTAAGGGATGACTAGGAATTTACTAAGCACAGGAGGTAGGTAGGGACACCCCAGGACAGAAAACAGTTTGCACAAGTTTATGCCATCATTACAGGGCATTGAGTATTTAAGAAGTGTCAAGTAGGTAATATTGTCATTTTATGAGGTCATTTTTCACACATTCTTAACATTACTATAATGCAATCAAATTAATCCCATCTCTTTTTCTATACTTGATCTACATTAAGTGATTTCAGATGACGGATGTAAAAGCATTTTCAGAACAAAAGAGGTAATAGAACAAAAACTGGCACATGGCAAGCACTCAGTGATTCTTTATTCAACAAGACTGAGTTGTCCAGGGAGCTAAGAGAGCTGCCAAGGCCCAGCTAAGATTTTGGATTCTAAATTTGCTTTACTATTAGTCCCCATAGCCAATGAATTTTCTCCATAGTGCTTAGTTGCCCCAGTAATGGAGCAGTTAGTACAGATGGCTGATATTATGAAGGGTTGCAGTTCTTCAACTTGAGACAGCAGAACAAGGGGTGCCAAATTGAAGGTGTTGCTTAAAGAGTTGTGGCTGTGGAGTCAGGCTGGAAGGGAGAATGGAGCCAGAGGGGAATAGAGAAGGAAGGGGCCAATGTTTGGGAGGGCTGAGGGCTGGAAAACAGGTGTAAGACACAGAGGGGATAGAGACATTGTAATCAGGTCACCTGTGAAAGAAACTGGCATTAAAAAGGTAATAATTTTTAGACATGCAGGCGTGAGTCAGCTGTCAATGATTAATGACTATGACTATAGGCACCGTTCTTTGTGTTTCTTCTTTATATTAGTTTTTCCCATTAAATATTTAATGCAGTGTGTTTTGTTTTGTTTTGTTTTTCCACAAAGCTATTTTACATTATTTGAAAATACGGGCTGGGCATGGTGGCTCATGCCTGTAATCCCAACACTTTGGGAGGCCGGGGTGGGCGGATCACCTGAGGCCAGGAGTTCGAGACCAGCCTGGCCAACGTGGCAAAACCTTGTCTCTAATAAAAATACAAAAATTAGCTAGGCATGGTGACGGGCACCTGTAATCCCAGCTACTCGGGAGGCTGAGGCAGGAGAATCGCTTCAACCCAGGAGGCAGAGGCTGCAGTGAGCCGAGATCGGGCCATTGCACTCCAGCCTGGGAAACAAGAGCGAAACTCCATCTCAAAAAAAAAAAGAAAAAAATATATATAGCTGTTGGTAATCCAAGAGGCAGGTCTAGGCCAGACTGCAAATTCTAAGGGATTTGAGTTTTATGCCGAAGAAGCTATGGAAGGGTTTTAAATAAGAGAATAACATGTTCAGAGGCATGTTTCAGAAAGACCAGTGACAGTAGCATGGAGTAGAGGTTGGCAGACCAGCAAGGAGACCCTTGCAGTCAGCCCGGAGAAAGGTACAAAGCCAAAACTCCAGTAATTAGTAAAGATGGAAACGAGATGATAAGTAGGAAAAATACTAAATGAGGATCTGGGATTTGGAAATTGATTGGATATGGGAAAATGTTATTAGGAAGGAGGCAGAGGTGATATCCATAATTCTAGTTTTGGTGACTTTGTGGATTACAATGACATTTACAGAGAGAGTAAAAGAAGAAAGCAGGTTTTGGGAAACATGAGTTTAGTTGGGTATATACTGAGTTTCATATATATGAGTTTCAAGGACAAATACTTGAAAGTGTCTCAATAGGATATCTAAGTCTAGAATTTAGGAGATCCTAGGCTGGAAGTAGTCAATAAATGCAGTAGATTTAATAGCAATCTTAAATGTCTCTATCCCCAAGAATCCGAGTAGCCTGAGAACTCCATTAAGATAACAGGGTAAGAATTTAAGAATTGCCATAAAGCAGGTCAGCTTCATTATTCCTTCAACCACCTCCCTGTTTTATCTCAGGTCACCAAGGGATAGTTTCTAGGAAGATGTGGTTTTCCTCTGCAGTATCAGCCTCAAAAGGTTAGGGATTGGCTGGGCATGGTAGCTCATACCTGTAATCCCAGCACTTCAGGTCAAGGTGGGAGGATCACTTGAGGCCAAGAGTTAGAGACCAGCCTGGGCAACATAACAAGACCCTGTCTCTACCAAAAAAAAAAAAAAAAAAAAAAAAGTTTTTATAAGGTTAGGGATGTTTTCTAATAAAAATCCCTATGATAAAAAGAAAACACAATGGGATGACGACAGTCAACAATAATTTATTGTACATTTTAAAATAACTGAAAGAGTCTGGGTGCCATGGCTCACATCTGTCATCCCAGCACTTTGAGAGGCTGAGGCATATGGATTGCTTGAACCCAGGAGTTCGAGACCAGCCTGGACAACATAGGGAGAACCCCCCATCTCTACAGAAAATAATTTTTAAGTCTCTACTAAATATTTTTTTAAAAAGCCAGGCATGGTTCTGTGTGCCTATAGTCCCCACTAATTGGGGAACTAAGGCAGAAGGATTACTTGAGCTGGAGAAGTGGAGACTGCAGTGAGCCATGATTGCACCACTGCACTCCAACCTGGGTGATAAAGCGAGACCCTGTCTCAAAATAAATAAGTAAAAAATAAGAGTATAATTGGACTGTTTGTAAGAAAGGATAAATGCTTGAGGTGATGGATACCCCATTTACCCTAATGTGATTATTATGCATGGCATGCCTGTATCAAAATATCTCATGTAACTCATAAATATATATACCTACTATGTATCTACAAAAATAAAAAAATAAAAAATAGACTTTTTTTGAGACGGAGTCTCGCTGTCGCCCAGGCTGGAGTGCAATGGCGCGATCTCGGCTCACTGCAACCTCTGCCTCCTGGGTTCAAGCGATTCTCCTGCCTCAGCCTCCTGCGTAGCTGGAATTACAGATGCACGCCACCATGGCTGGCTAATTTTTGTGTTTTTAGTTGAGACTGGGTTTCACCATGTTGGCCAGGCTTGTCTGGAACTCCTGACCTCAGGTGATCCACCCGCCTCGGCCTCCCAAAGTGCTGGGATTACAGGCGTGAGCCACTGCACCTGGCCAAAATTTTTTAAAGGAAAAAAAACTGTTCGAAATTAAACTTACCCCTCCTTGCTTCACAGCTTTTATGTGGAATAAGAGTTTGAATTAACCAATGAAAATAGATCCATTACTACTCCCAGAGAATCCAATCCAAAAAGCAAATCTAAACAACTGGGCCTCTCTGTAGACTCTCCCTGGGCAGATGAACTGTTTACAGAGATGAAGGTAGAAGATAAAACCGTGGATACTATTCAAGAAGCAAGTGGAGCCAGCCAGGGAACACAGGCTCTAAAGCAGGAGGCACGAGGCATTCTCCTCCCAGCCTGATTCAAAAGGGCTTGGCGCTGCCTTCCTCAGCTGAAAGGTGCCATCCTGAGTTGACAGTTAGAGCAACACTCCCTTGACCAGTGCCGGGTTCACACTGACAGAGGCCTCTCTTTTTAGGACTCTATGGAGACAATGCCCTTTTCTTGTTAGGTAAAAAAAAAACCTTTTTCTCTTATGAATTGTATTCAAATTTGAAAAGATGCTTATACGTTATCTGCTGATCTTTATGACTTTCACCCTCAAAGGGGTAACATTACCCAGCAGTTTATGCCAGGGCTTCCTCAGCTTACCAATCAATGACTGTGTTGCCAACTTTGAGGCTCCCCCACAACTCCAGTTTGCAAATGTTTTTTACAGGCCTCCCTCCACTTCAATGTCTATACCAATTGCTGGCGAATCTGAATCTTTGCAAGAAGATAGAAAAGGTGGAGAGACTCTCAAAGTGCATCTTGGAATAGCAGGTATGGATGTGTGGCTTACTGGTTTTGTAATTTGTGAGAGACTACTTGATGCCCTAAAAATTCCCAAAGCCCTTCCAGATTTAAAATTGTGTGGATATTTGACTTGAAACAGGCCAATAAGAATCAGCAGTTTTAATTATGTAATTCTTGGTTGGTCCAGTGCTTTATTTAGTCTAAAGTATTGTGCTCTGACAGATTAAAAACTAGATGTTACAATGACACTCCGGTCATCACTGTATGCATCTACCCCCCACAAGTACAACAGAATACTACAGGATTTTTTCCATTTTTCCTATTCCATTACCCTGCAACTTCTGTAAAGCAACTTCTGCCTCTCAGGTGTTGCTCCTCTTCCATGAATCGCTTTCCCTCTGTCAGTGGTTCTCAAGCCCTAGTGTGCATCAGTCACCTGGAGGGCTTGTGAAAACACAGGTTGCGGGCGCAGCAGCCAGAGTGTTTGATTCAGTAGATCTGGCTTAGAGCCTGAAGTTTTGTATTACTAAGACATTCCCACAAGACCCTGATGCTGCTAGTCCCTGACCACACCTTGAGATGCACATTTCCAGGCACACTTCTGGCAGCAGTCAGAATCTGCTCCAGAAGTAAAAGCGTGGTGGGGAAAATGTCAAGGTCACAGGAGGAAAAGGACTTAGGAGCTTCCTTCTGTCTTCAGTATTATGGGAACAGGATGTATTGTTGGAAAGAAGGGAAAGAAAGGTGAAGTGATATAATTAACCCTTTCACTACCTTTTAAAATATGCAAATATATGGTTTCTTATAAATAATGGTGACTCTGAAATGTCCTGTTTTGGGATCAGTGGATCTTTTGGGAACTTGTAACCATTCCATTAGCTCCTTCTCTTCAGCATGTAAATATTCTGAATTCTTTCTCATATTGAAAAAATAAAAACAAAAACTCCTTAGCCCTACATCCTTCTCTATCTACTGCTCTCCCTTAGGCTCCAGCAGGCTGGCACATGTGCTCACATGCTCTGTGTCTTTCCCCACCCTGCCCCAAATATATAGAGACCTCTCTCTCTCTCTCTCTCTCTCTCTCTCTGTCTCTCTCTCTCTCTCTGTGTGTGTGTGTGTGTGTGTGTGTGTGTGTAGAGAGAGAGAGAGATCAGCAAGAGATGATATATGTACCACACATTTCTTATAGCCAAAACTTCTAGAAATAATATACCATTTATTCCTGAACACAGTAGCCATCTGGCTTCCATTGTCTGCCCTCTCTTGATGCTATCCCCAGATACATGATTGTCAACTCCTGTGGATATTTGTTCTGATCTCATCTGATGGCCAGTTATTCTTTCTTGACGCTTTCTCTTCCCTCGGCTCCTCTCTGACCTTTCCTTTTCTAGCTTCTTAGAGTCTTCTTCATCTTCCTCCGACTTCCCTTTACATATTGATGTTCCACAGGGTTTGGTCCCCTCACTTCCTTGAGCAATGCCATCTATACCCTTGGCTTTATCTGTCACATAAATGTAAACGTGATTGTTTGATGTAAATGTGATCAAATGCTTTGGGGAAAGGTCCACTTCATACAAATGTTACACTGAAATTCATCTGTTTCTCTTTCTCCCCGGCCAGACTCTTAAGTTTTTCATGATCAGGTCTTATTTATCTCTCTATCTCCAGCAGAAGGCCCGGGACACAGTAGATGTTGAGTGACTGTTGAATAGGCATCCTTAGGTGTCTAATTCCGCATATCTAGCACAAGTCTTCCTACCTTTTCCTCCTGTCTTTTCTACCTCAGTTTTCCTGACACAAACTTCTGCTTTGTTATTGAGTCCTACTATTTGTACCTAGGAAACATCTCTCACTCTCAGCCGGATTACTATGAAAACCTTCACTCATACGCCCCCCGTTTATCCTGTTGCCAAAGTCTTCTTCCCAAAATGTAGATCTGATCATGTCACACCCTTCCTCGAAGCCACTGAACTGTTTCCTTCTTTAAACTCATAGAAAGTTCTTCATCAACAGGCATCTACTCATCTTTCTAGCCTCTTTGCCCTCAGTTGTTATACTACACTACCCTATATGCCAACTTTACCAAACAATCTGCTTCCCTACAAACAAGGCATGCTCTTCCTCGTGCTTTTCCTTGCTCAGAAGTTCCCAAACATTGCTCAAGTCGTGGGGTTAACCTCCTCTGTGAGGTCTTTCCCCCATTTCCAGGTTGTGTCAGATGCACTGTCCTTTGGAGCTCTTAACAGCTGCCTTTTGGTGCTTGTATTTTTGTACTTACCACATTGTATAAGTTTTGCTTCTACCTCTAAACTCTAAGCATGTATTTTGTCTTACTTATTTTGTACTTCCTATACCTTGTACAGTATTAGGCACCTGACTTGATAAAATATTAATAAATATTGACTGAATGAATAAATTTTGAAAACCAGAAGATATGTGGATGACTTAAGATCTGAGCCAAACCCCGAAGTAAAGAGCGCTGCATAACTCTTGATATGAACTAACTTTTTGAGTTCAGATTTTGCTGCATGTTTGGGTTTGGACCACTGTAGAGATGCTTGGGCCACTTATACTCTGTCCAGAAATGAGAAACCTTTGCAGAAGGACCAGGTTACTCCAGTAGCTTCCTTGTTTTGCAGCATTTGTTGGTCCAACTGCATGCAATATCATTTATAGAATGGTTGCTATAATAGCTATGTTAGTTGCTTTCCTTCTGCTTCTATGTTAAAAACGGTTCTTGTTTCCAAATATGATTGTGCCCTAGGGAAAATGGTCACAGTTCTGCATTCTCTGGAAGAAGCCTGGTTCTGAAAATATATAACTGGCACCTGGAATATACACATGATCAGAAACTATTAGAAATGGCTTTGACACTGCCTTTTGTACATTTACTTTGAATCTGAATACTATAATCACTTTCTTAAGAACTTTTATTCTCAGTGCAACATCCCATGCTGTGTTGATTTAAGCCACAGATATTGCCCAAATTACAGCCTAGCACTAGCAACACTAACATTAAAGTAATAGAGTACTCTGTAGCTTGTTGTTGTGATGGATTTTTAAGGAAGCAGTATTTGCTTAGAAACCACACTAAAACCTACCAATTTTGTGAATATTTATAAGAATACATCAGGCTGGGCGCAGTGGCTCAAGCCTGCAATCCCAGCACTTTGGGAGGCCGAGACAGGCAGATCACAAGGTCAGGAGATCAAGACCATCCTGGTTAACACGGTGAAACCCCGTCTCTACTAAAAAATACAAAAAAACTAGCCGGGTGAGGTGGCTGGTGCCTGTAGTCCCAGCTACTCGGGAGGCTGAGGCAGGAGAATGGCGTAAACCCGGGAGGCGGAGCTTGCAGTGAGCTGAGATCCGGCCACTGCACTCCAGCCTAGGTGACAGAGCGAGACTCCGTCTCAAAAAAAAAAAAAAAAAAAAAGAATACATCAGAGTCGTTTTTATTGGAGAATACTGAACACTAAAACTATAGCAGTTTTAAGATAGAGTGCTGTTAAATGTTTTGAAAAACAGGAGTTTATTGCATGGACTGAACTAATAAGGACTGAAATAATTTTTTTAATGTTATGAAAAATATAATACTAAGGTATTTAAATACTTTGTATTTCTTGCAATACAGTTATTTCCATTGTACTGACTTAAAAGGATATCTCTCATTTTTTAGCTTATTGTTTTGATAATGAACTTGGCAGAGTTTATAAAGTCTGCAGATTAGAATACAAGCTGACCGTTCACTTTTTGGCAATAAGAATGACATCATGTTATGACATATTACAGATCTTTCAGCAAAGAGTGCCTCTGTTCCAGACGAACTTGGTGCCTGTGGACATTCTAGAACATCAAGCTATGCAAGCCAGCAGTCAAAAGTATCAGGTAGAGGCTAACAGTGAAGTTGAATTCCTTATTGTTCCAAAGGGACTTGAAACTGCTGTGGTGTGGGGGAAGGATGCCAGATTGCAGAGTGTTTGATATGAGTATGATATCCAAGGCGATTTTCTCTGACAGGGTATAGCACATGTCACTCCCGGTCATCTAGTTTCTCTGAGCTCTGCCACAGAAGAAATACCTCAGTGGGAAGCACATCAACAGGAGTTGAAAGTATTCTAGAGCCATGTGATGAAATCGAGCAGAAAATCACTGAGCCAAATCTTGATACAGCTGATAAAGAAGATACAGCTTCAGAAAAACTCAACAGGTATCCTTTTAGTTTAAAGAATAAATTTTAATTTTAAAAAAACTTTGTTTTCATAACATAATAAAAAGGAAAAAATGTAATTCTTTTCAAAGATGCCCAGTGAAACAAGATTCTGTAGAATCTCAGCTGAAGCGAGTTGATGACACCAGGGTGGATGCAGATGACATTGTGGAGAAAATATTACAAAGTCAAGACTTCAGCCTTGATTCCAGTGCTGAAGGTGTGTAGATAACTTTTAAGCATAGATTCCTGTAATCCAGGTTTTTGTAATCTGTGTAATCAGCAGTAAAGAGGCTCAGAACATCATGATATGACTGTTGCATATTTGTATAGTAAATTTCATGCCCATAAAAATCTCAAGATAACTTTATAACTCATTTATTAATGAGAATGATTATTGAATTTAGAAAAAACACATTTTAGTTAAAAGTGATCAATTTTAAATAAAACATGTATTGTGTTTTTAATTATGCCCAGATGTCTACAATGTTTGTATACCTAATGATAGGTATCTACATCTGCTTTTGTTACAAGTGCTTTAAGCCACAGTTGTAATTTGGAGGTGGTCTTAGAACAATAATAGTGAATAATGGAATCCTTCATTCCCTCCTTAGAATTTTCACTGAAACTGAAAATTTGTATGCCACCAATTTGAAAGATATAATTACTCATGTTGATGTGAATAGAAAGCACTTAACAATGGACTTATTTTCATTATGTAGCTGGGTATAAAGAGAAATAATTAAACCTTACTTATGGAAATTTGTAGGAAGATCTATCTCCATTACTCAGCTAAAAGAAAAAGAGCTTTAGAAAAGTTGGTGAGCAATAACCTTTAGAGTATCTTTTAAATTGCCTATTTTAAAACATGTGTATGTAACTTTGGTTTTTAAGTTATTTCTTTAATAAACTGAATTGTAAAATATGGATTATTACAATATCAATACTATTTGACAATAGTCTAATAATTGTGCATGTAACAAACATTTTAAATGTGTATTGCAGAAGAAGGACTAAGGCTATTTGTGGGTCCTGGGGGAAGTACAACCTTTGGCAGTCATCATCTTCCAAATAGGTAAGTAGTACAAATAGTGTCTTATTAAAATATAGACTAATTTTTTTTTAATCATGAGTAGAGGATGATGGTTGCAAAGTTTATATTAGGCTGAAGCTAGGAAACACAGCAGTAGTTACATAAGAAGAGTTACAGCTCTTAGCGTAGCTCTGTTTCCTTTATTCTGGATATGTTTGACATTATATTTTATAAATTAGTTTTTAATTTCCTTAGAAGTATTTTTAAAGTGTATTAGTCAAGGACCAGTAGACCATTGGGAAAGCTGCAATATAAAAGGACATTTAGAAAAGAGTTCTTAGTCTTTTAAAACATTAATTTTTTATTAATTTATTTTCTAGAGACAGTGCTGTTTCCCAGGCTGGAATGCAGTGGTGCAATCATAGATCACTGTAGCCTCAAACTCCTCAGCTCAAGTGATCCTCCTGCCTTAGCCTCTTGAGTAGCTGGGACCATAGGCATGTGCCACTGTACATCACTAGTCTGATATTTTAGGAAGAGCAAAGCAAAATTACATTCTCAGTCAATGGTGTTATCTTTTCTGAGCAGTTACACAGCCACTGAGCAACTTAAGCTGCTGTTAACCTTTCTTGTACTCTCCTTTTCTCCACCCCACTGCCATACATATTAAGAAAAGTTCTGAAAACCAAATACCGTTTTGCTAGTTATTCAGATGCAGATGAAGAAAAGTCACCTGCCAAACTTACCACTGATTATCAGCACTGCAGCAGGTAACAGTGAGCACAGACACCAAGGACAGTGTAGGAATTCTGATCACTCCCTTGCTCCTTACAGCCTGCTCCCCACACTTCTGTGCACCCCTAATTCCATTCCATGTCATATTTATGTAGAGTCCCTGCAAAACTACAGAGTGAGTCACAGTTTCAGGGGGGAGCCCCTTGGACCAAGACAGTTATTTTATTCTCTCATGCTCAAAACCTAAAAGAATTTTGCATTCATTTCTTTTACTAATACTCATTTTAATGAGTACCTCCTATTTGTCCAGCACATTACAAGGCTCAAAAATAGACTAACAGCAAAAACCTACATCAACAATTAACTACAATCAGATATCATAGGTAGGTAAGAGAGAGACATATAAAACTACTTCCAGGGAGTAATGTGAAAAAGGATTTACAGAAGATATAACACTATTTAGATCTTTAATTGACTCATCTGCTCATTAAATTCAGTAACTGTTTCTTGGGCCAATTTCTGGGTAAGAATGCAAGTAGAAAAGACCAAGCTCTTACCCTCTGCCGGCTTATGGTCTAGCACATGGGGCTGGCAGGCTATAGCTCATAGGCCAAATTGGCCCACTGCCTGTATTTATAAAGTTTCATTGGAACACAACTATGCCTGTTTATTTGTATAGTGTTTATGGCTGCTTTGATGCATTACAGTAGCAGAGCTGAGTGGTGCCACAGAGACTCTGTGGCCCACAAAGCCTACAATATTTACTGTCTGACTCTTTCTTACAGATGAGATGGACAAACTAAAAATCGTAACATTATAATAAATACTGTAATAGAGAGAAGTAGAGGGAAGTTTGAGAGAACAGAAACGGGACCTCAGAGTTCACACTTGAAGAGAGACTTTGGGAGAATAAAAAATAAGTGGGGGGCTTATAAGGTGAATATGATGAATATGAATACTCCTGGTAATGGGAACAAATAGAATGAGTTTATAAGTACAGTTATTATTATATATAATTATAATAAACATATAGCAACTATAGGTAGCATTGAGCATTTATTAGTTATATGCCAAGCACAGGTACATATATATTTTTTTATCCAATTCTTATATAGTATCTTTCAGTGCTCACAACATACTACAATTAGTTTGGTGTTTTTTTTTAATGGAAACAAAGATACAAAGAAGTAATTTTAGGCTGGATGTGGTGGCTCACACCTGTAATCCCAGCACTTTGGGAGGCTGAGGCGGGTGGATCACTTGAGATCAGGAGTTCAAGACCAGCCTGGCCAACATGGCAAAATCCCGTCTCTACTAAAAATACAAAAACTAGCTGGGCGTGGTGGTGGGCACCTGTAATCCCAGCTACTTGGGAGGCTGAGGCAGGAAAATCACTTGAACCCAGGAGATGGAGGCTGCAGTGAGCCAAGATTGTACCACTGCACTCCAGCCTCTGCGACAGAAAGAGACTGTCTCAAAAAAAAAAGAAGAAGAAGAAGTAATTTGCCCAAGGCCTTAAAACTAGTAAGTGGTAAAACCAAGATTAAAACTCATGTCTCTTTGAGTCCAAATCCCATTGTACTTAACCACTATATCTTACTATATCTTACCAAATCCCATTGTACTTAACACATTAATAATATAACATAGTTCAGGTTCTTCTGAGGAGAGGGGGTTGTGAACAGGTATTTAAGGGCATGAGGATGGCAAGCATCTCTGGGCTAGGCTGTAAAGGGCCTCACTTGCCATAACAAAGTTTCTTCTTCTCATGTTCACAGTGGGGAGCCATTGGCTGTCCTTGCAGGGAAGTGACCTATCAGATTGGCATTTTAGAAAAATAACTGGCTATTATTTGAAGGGTAGATCAGAGCAAGGAGAGACCAGTAGCAGGAGGAACCAGGTAGAAAAGTAACATTTATAAGGACAGTGGTATGAAGGATGGAGAGAACATACGTTTTTGAGTTAGAGACTTGGGTTCACATCCTAGCCAGACCACTTTTGGGGCCTGAGTAAATCACTTAACTTCAATAGAATTTTAGTTATCTCTGCTGAAAAGTAGGAATAACCATGCCTATCTCATGGAGTAATTTTAAAGGGCAAATGACATAATATACTCAGTAAACCCGGGCTTTATTTATTTAAGTAGAGGAACAGCAGAAAATACAGTTCCAACCAAATGGTATTTTTTTCTAAGAGATAGGGTCTCACCCTGTCACCAGGCTGGAGTGCAGTGATGCACTCTCGGCTCACTGCAGTCTTCAACCCCAGGCTCAGCCTGCTGAGTAGCTAGGACTACAGGCAGGTACCACTACGCTCAGCATTTTTTTTTTTTTGTAGAGACAGAGTCTCGCTGTGTTGTCCAGGCTGGTCTCAAACTCCTGGCCTCAAGTGATCCTCCCACTACAGCCTCTCAAAGTGCTAGGATTACAGGCATGAGCTGTTGTGCCAAGCCTTCAACCAAGAGGAATTTAAATAGTAAATGATCAAAAGCATGGACTGTCTTATCAGACTGCCTGGGGTCAAGTCCTAGCTCTTCCACTATTGATTGATATTATTGACCTCTGTGAGGCTCCGTTTCCTTGCCTATAAAATGAGAGTGATAAATAAGATACTGAACTCATAGGATGTAACATTAAATTAGATGACTTACGTAAAGTTTTTTGGTTTTCATTTTTGAAAGACAGGGTCTCACTCTGTTGCCCAGGCTGGGGCACAGTGATGTGATTACAGTTCACTGCAGCCTCCAATTCCTGCACTCAAGTGATCCTCCTGCCTCAGCCTCCTGAGTAGCTAGGACTACAGGTGTGAGCCACCACGCCCAGCTTTTCTTTTTTAACTTTGTGTGGAGATGAGGTCTTGCTGTGTTGCCCAGGATACAGCCTTGCCCACTTGGGTTTTCTCACTGGGACCTGCATGCACCTGCCCGCTTGTCTTTAGGGACATTAAATTTTTTCTGACAAGAAGTCTGTCTGTATTTTTATTTTATTCTTCTGTATGTGATTTGTCTTTTATATATATCTGGCTGCTTTTAAGATTTTCTGTTTATTACTGGTTTTTAGCACTTTGGCTATGATGTGCCTTGGTATGTTTTTCCTTGTGTTTATTCTGCTTGGGGTTCATCAAGCTTTTCCATCTATGGGTTTACAGTTTTCATCAAATTTGGAATTCTCAAGCCATTGTTTTCCCCAACCCCTCCTTCTGTTATTCTGATCTACAAATTCTAGTCCCCAGCCCCTCTGAGCTTTGACCTCTGACTCCTCCACTCAGAGAGACCAGCAGGCTGTATTTGGGGTCTTCCTCTCTGCACTGCAGGCTCGGAGGATCCTGAAGGAAACTGCTTCAGGCAGCTAGCTGGGGCGGTTGTTGGGCTCTCTTCATTTATTTATTGTTTCTTGGGACCACAGTCCTGCACTGCCTGTTGTCTAGTATGTGCAAACTGTCATTTCACTCATTCTATCCAGTTTTCTAATTATATAAGGCAGGAGGGAAAGTCTGGTTCCTGTTACTTCATCATGGCCAGAGGAGAACATTTTTAAAAGGGCATCTAAAAGCCAGTGTGCCGTGCTGCCCACCATGGTTTCTTCAAATTCTGATTTTCTGTAGGTATGAATGGGTGCTCACTGGCATTCTGTTGAGGAAGTTCCTATTTCTTCTGTAGAATGAATCTGTGAGAAAAGGAGTTTCTGGGCAGTCAACTGAGAAGTCCAGTCAAGTCCACGGTGGGCTAGTAATCACTGCTACCTTACTTCCATTGTTTAGAATTTCCTCTTAAAATGTCATTAAGGGAGACACTAGTCATGGTGGTTGCTTCTGGGCTTACTAAACTCAGGCACACTCAGGGTGAAATGACCAGTAGTAAGGTATACCCTGACATCTTGACAAATTGGGAAATGGGTACCTGGTGATAACTTTAGGCAGTAATGGGCCAGGCATGGTGGCTCATGCCTGTAATCCAGCACTTTGGAAGGCTGAGTTAGGAGGATTGCTTGAGCCCAGGAGTTCTTGTTGCAGTGAGCTTCAATCACACCACTGCACTTCCATCTGGGCAACAGAATGAAACCCTGTCATGAAAACGCCACAATATTATGACAGCTGAAGACCATCATCATTAACTCAATGGGAGTCCTGATGCACTGCCAGAGTCAACATATGCTCTTGGATGAGACCGATTTTAGAATGGATAGATAAACATGTTTGAGGAGCATTTCTTGCCACCGTTTGTTGATTGGTCAAGAATTGGGAAATTCTAATACATTATTTTGGGAATAAGTGCAAAAGAATCAGGATCTACACTAATCCAATGTATTAATTATAAACATTTAATATTTCACATAGTTTCTATCCATGATGCCTTTAAACCTTGTGGAAATCAAATCTAGTAGAAAAATACCTAATGCCCCATCTCTCCAGGGACAAGGTTCCTTGAAACAGTTTCAAACACTACAGCAAAATTTTGAAGTTTTTTTCCTCTACTGTTTTAGGGTGGGGTCTGGAGCTTATGAACAAGTTGTGATCAAACGCTAGAAGTCAAGCCGGTGAAAACATTTCCCTGTGGATTTAAGATGTGAGTAGTTGATGTATCAAGGCATTTTATTCAAGCACTTAATAGAAAATGAACCTCAACTATCAAGAGGAAAGCCAATGCTGATTTCTTCTCTGGAAGGACCCACCACCATCCTGTAGCAGCCACCAAAGGGGAACATCTGCATGGCAGTCTCCAGGCACCGTGCTGCTATGTGCCTTGGAAGCACCTGGCTTCTGTGGTCACTGCACATGATAATGAAAAGCCTGCTTTGTCTTTTAGAACACCCCAGTGGAGAAAACAGCATTATACACATCAGAGTATCATTTTAGGATTCAAGTGTAAAAATCTGTGATCAAGGTGCTCAATAGATTTGGGCTCTATGGTTTGGTTTTTTTAGTTTGAGAGACAGTACATGAATATAACTTAAACCCTATAGATTTGTCAAGATAGGCACAATTCCTGTTCTGGAAATCTTCCCTATTACACTACCTACAGCGTTGTATAAAGCGTGGGTGTTCATGTTTTGAGAAAATGTTAGACTACAATTGAAACATGTGATGTGCTTATTCATAATTCTCAATGTATCAGTCATAAATGAAATAACAAGTGCATTTCAGTCTGAGATACGTGAATGGATGTAATGCCGTTTTTATGCAGTATATATTGTTAATTGTCATTAATATTAGATGAACTGCAGAATCACCCCCAAGCACTACATAAAAGGCTCAAAATAAGTTTAACACCCACTGTGTTGGGCACCCTAACAGAAGAGCTGTCTTAACTCACTGAATAGTAAGGTCTACTGGTTTCAGGAGTCAAAATGTAGAAAAAGAGGAGAATTGTAATATGGTCAGAAACAGAGAAGCCTTTTCCATGTAAATTCAGATTTATCTGAGGCTAACAGTTTTCCAAAGTGGTGGTGGGTAGCAGCATGACAGCTGCTTGCCGTGACTGATGCGGACTGGTAGGTTTCCATTTTAGTTCTCTGTAAGTACTATTTTCTTCTCCACTGTGTCAAAAGTTAGTTGTTTTGAGGCAAGAGTAGAATATAACATACATCAAATATAGCTTTTAAAATAAGAATACCTGGTCTGGATCCAGTTGACTAGCACAGCAGATAAACCTTAGAGTTTTTCTGTCCTTACATGACAGTTTCCACGTGGAAAGATCTAAACTTTCTTGGAATCACTGTTAGTGAAGAAAAATGTAGAATCTGTATAACCAGTAATTCCCCAATTCTTACTTCCAAAGTCATATCCAGGAAAGACAATATGTCAGAATAGAATGACTTTGGTCTAGGTGTTTTCACGTTGGCAAAAATAAGGAGGAAATTATATTATTTTAATATCCAAATTTAAAGGTTTGGAAAATTTTGAATAGTTAATATTAGGACTTTTGTTGCTGTTTTTTATATTTCAAGGATTGGGTATTCTGCATTAATCCAATACTATATTAACCAAGAGATTCTGGAATTTTTTAAAAGATGATACCCTGTTTTATATTTTGAATGTAGAGAGACTCTGAGAGAGAGAATGTTCTGAGTTATTATACTTTTTATTTTTTAAGATTTATTTTTAAGGATAAAACAATGACCTGAACATTTTAGCCTAACCAAGGGAATTAAGTGGTAAAGACTTGCATTCTGTCTTCACGTGAACTGATCCATTCATTATATATTATGGGAAAAATCAAAGAAAGTTTTTTATAGAGATATGAAGATATTATTTAGAGAGATATTTATTATGACATTTTTTAGAAACATATTTTTCTATTTTCAAAATATTATTTCTAGGCTATATTTTTATTGGTGCTGTGCAGATGATTTTGCAGTTTTGAAAACGATAAAACTAGATTGTAAGTGGGGTTTAGGGAGAACATTCATCAGACATGTAAGAGGTGCTGCAGTCAGGGCGGTGCCCATCTTACTCATCCTTGGCTGCCCTTGGTCCGACACCTCTCTATACAAGACTGGTTCTCAGTATTTTAAATGGTACAGAATTCTTTTTAAAAAGTAGAGAGATTTTGAAAAGCATAAGAATCATGCCTTTATAATCTTAGCAGCCATCAGATACATCTTGATTTATGTAGTAGTAAATATAACAAATATTTTAATAAATAGAAACACTGATTAGGAAGAAAAAAGAACTAATGTGTATGTCTTCTGTAGTCAGCAAAAGTCTGGATCCATTTTATTCCATTTTGTGTTCCATTGGCACACTTTGTATTCAAATTTCAGTGCAGTCCTTTCAAAATACTCGCTAAGGGTTGCCTAAGTGTCTGCCTTACGCTCTGATTCTCCTTTTCAGAGAGCATGGTTAAGAACATCTTAACCATGTAGCCATTGAAAAAATCTGTTTATTAAATAATAAGTCCACTTCTGTTTATGTTTTGAGTTTAGAAAATTTGACTTGAAAATTTAGATTATTAATAAATGTATTTTTAAATATTAAAGTCAAATTTCAAATCACCCAGTGTTGAAGAATTTGCAGATGTATACAATAGTTTTTCTAATTATATCCTAGAGAAAAAGACTAATGGTATTTCAAAGCTGTGTATTTGTGATGAGATAAAGAAGAGTCTTAAATATCTTGTTTGGGAGAATGCACAGGCCAGTCAGGAGACCCACCTCCTGCGCCGTGAGCTGCTCACTGAGACCCAACAGGTCATGAAAGCTAGTAGAGGGCAGAGAAGGCCTTGGGCCATCAGTTTACACTCGAATGGTTGACTCCCCTTTGTGGTGTTTTTGAAGGCTGCTTATACCAACAGCTAATGTGGATTAGTGCTTATGATCTTGAAAAAGTCTTGACCAAGAGTCCTAAACTCCACCACTCCACCATCCCATTCCAGCTTAACACTATCAGAATAATATGCAAACTCTGGATTCTTTTTTCTTTTTCACTTTTTTTTTTTTTTTTTTTTTTTCCTTTTTTAAGAGAGACAGGGTCTTGCTCGGTCACCTAGGCTGGAGTGTAGTGGCACAATCGTTGCTCACTACAGCCTCCAACTCCCAGGCTCAAATGATCCTCCCACCTTGGCCTCCCAAAGTGCTAGGATTACAGGCGTGAGCCACTGTGTCCAGCCTAGTTTCTTTTGTATATGCTTTTTCTACAAAACTGTGAGCCACAGAGGTTGACCACTTAGCCAATTGGTTGCTAGAAGGGAGAAAAAAAATCTCCAGCTAGCCTCCAGATAAAACATACTCAAATTCAAACAGCAGTTAGTTTTAATTAACATATAGAAGTAATTTTAGGCTTTCAGATTTCTATGCTGACTAGAACACTTTGCAAGCTGAAGCTGACATTATTATCAAATACTTCATTTAAGTACGTACTCCGAAGTGTCAGGCTTCCAGCATATGTAGCAACACTCTGAGAGACAAACTGGGCTCATATGACGGGGTTGCATTTTATTTTCTTAACAGGTCTTTAAATTGGGCAGTTCTGAAATTCTGTTTGGTCACTTCTAGATGGTACGTCATGTGAATACAACCAAGTACTGTAGTTGAAATTGTGTTATACCACTACTCATATGTTGTTTTAGGTACTATGCATAATGTTAATAGCTGAGATGTTAAAGAATTTGAAGTCTAAAATATAAAAGATAAATATACCTATATTAATCCTATGTTAAGATGCTCTGGAAATAAAGGCCTTATTCCCTTACATATGCGATTTTTGTAAGATAATATATACACAGTGTATTTTAAACATTTGTGTGGGTGGTCCATGTAGTTACTTCCCATACGACAAAGCTGACAAAATTTTTAATTTACACAATGTATTCTGCATTTTCAAATGTTTATCTTATATATATAGCAAAGAAATTATCTTACTGATATGCATTGACCAAATCCCATGGAGAAAAGACATTTAGATACATCTCATTTGAGGCTCCCCTTCCTCTCATGTGTTTGATTTTTTGGAAGATGACACAATGTGTGGGTAACCATGCAAATGTTTATGAATAACTTTATTGAAGTGATTCCATCAGTATTCTGTTCTAATACTTGGAGAATGATCTTCATATTTATATATTTTATTTCTTTGTTTCAACTATACAGTGATAATCCAGGAAATGTTTCCTTTTTTTTTTTTTTTTTTACAAAAACTGATTTTTTATTTGTAAAATGTTTGTAATAATGTAAAGGTGAACATGTTCAATAAAAATCATATATTAAGAGTTTAGATGTTCTTTATCTTTTAAAATGTATCAGTTAAGATTCCATCAGAAAATTGTGCCAAGGTAAGAAAACAGAAATGAAAGGACCAAAATAACTTATCCCTGAGGGTTTCTTTATTTATTACCAGGGAGCATGGGACAGATTTGAACGCCCCCTGTGGCGGACTTCTCTTTGAACCCTGGGGCAGCCCATGCAGTGGCATGGACCTGGGCTTTGGGTGAGACAAACCTGAGTCTGAATACAAACTCCCCTCTGAACCTGGCCTCAAACTCCTGAGCTCAAGTGATCCTCCCACCTTGGCCTCCCAAAGTGCTAGGATTACAGGTGTAAGCCTATGCGCCTGGCCTGAACCTATTTTCTAATCTAGGATGGACATAACACCAATACTCTATTGGGTTGTAATGAAAGACATGGGCATTATTGTTAAGAGTATGCTACTTTCTAGGCACTCAGTGGTCCGTCAAGCCAAAATTTGCCTTTGTATAGCATCTGTACACATATACTCATTTCTAGTGTTGGACATACAGATGCTTATTAAATGTGCCACTATTAGTGTATACCCAAAAGAAAGGAAATAAGTATATTGAAGAGATATCTGCAATTTTATGTTTATTGCAGCACTATTCACAATACCCAAGGTTTGGAAGCAACCTAAGTGTCTATCAACACTTAGATGAATTCATAGAGAAAATGTGGTATATAAACACAGTAGAGTACTGTTCAGCAATAAAAAAGAATGAGATCCTGTCATTTGCAACAACATGGATGGAACTGGAGACCATTATGTTAAGTGAAATAGGCCAGGCACAGAAAGACAAACTTCACATGTTCTTACTTATTAGTGGGAACTAGAAATTAAAATAGTTGAGCTCATGGAGATAGAGAGTAGAAGGATAGTTGCCAGAGGCTGGGAAGGGTAGTTGGGGGGTAGGGTGTGGGAGGTGGGCATGGTTAATTGGTACAAAAAAGAATGAGTAAGACATAGCATTTGCTAGCAAAAAAGGGTGACTATAGTCAAAAATAATTTAATTGTACATTTTAAGAGTATAATTGGGCCGGGTGCAGTGGCTCACGCCTGCAATCCCAGCCCTTTGGGAGGCCAAGGCAGGCGGATCACTGGAGGTCAGGAGTTCGAGACCAGCCTGACCAACATGGTGGAACCCCATCTCTACTAAAAATACAAAAATTAGTTGGGTGTGGTAGTACACGCCTGTAATCCCAGCT